TCCTGATTCCTGCGCCTCTCCTCGATCCTGAGCTTACCCATGATCGCGGCGGCAAAGCTGGAGACTCCTTGCCAGTTTTCCTCGCTCCTCAACATCACTGCAATGAGGTTTTCCACGCTAATGCTGGTATGTAGAAGGGACACCACCGCGCGCCGCTCGCTCTCGAATTTAACACACGAGAACAGCGCGTGCTCAGCTGTCTCCTCAACGTCCTGGCCGCATCGACTGCAGCCTCCACTCTCCTCGTGGCCGAACCTATGTAGGTAGCCCTTAAAGCACCCGTGGCCACTAAGTACCTGGGTCAGGAAGAAATTAACCTGTCCGTGTTTTCTCATGGTCCACGTCTCCAGGCACGGGATTAGACGGTGCGTCCACCGGCCTTTTGTGGAGGCATCCCAACGTGATTGCCACGCTGTTAGCGTCGCCATTTTCGCCTCTGCTTTTGCCTCCTTCTTCTCGCGGGGCGACAGGGCTTGCCCGTGGACCTTCTTGAAGACGTCGGCCTGTTCCTTGGCAAGCAGATCTATCGGCGGGGTGCCAGCTATGACTAGCGCCGCCTGATCAGAGACCGTCCGAAACGCACTGCAAATGCGAAGAGCGGCCAGACGGTGTGCGGCCATCAGCCCGCGGCCGTAAGAAGGCGTCGCCATGGCGTGACTCCATACGGGGGCTGCATATAGCATAGTTGCTCTAGCTGCGCTCGCTAAGAGGAGCTTGCTCGCTTGTCTTGGGCCGTGATGGTTCAGCATGATCCTTGAGAGTGCTCTCACTGTCGTGGCAGCCTTGGAGCTTGCGTAAGTCAGGTGTTCCCTGAAGGAGAGTCTGGTGTCGATCATCACTCCTAGGTATTTAATAGCTCTAGAAGATCTGACCGATGCATCGCAGACCCGCACGCTTGCCACCTCCACCTTCTTCCTGCTGCTCACCAGGACGGCTTCGGTTTTCTGCGGCGCTAGCTGCAGTCCGGCGTTCGACAGCCACTCGTTGATTATGGCTATGCTCAGGCTGCTGGTCTCCTCTGCTCCTGCGATCTCCTTTGCGACGGTGACCACCGCTATGTCGTCTGCGAAGCCCACAATCTCCGTTCTCCCTGGTAGTGGAAGCCGGAGGACGCCGTCGTACATTGCATTCCACAAAAGTGGCGCAATCACGGACCCCTGTGGAACACCGCACGACAGCTCGACCGCTTGAGTACCGCTGTCCGAGTCTATCTGCAGCACCCTGTCGTGAAAGTAATTTCGCATCAGGTTAAGCAGATAGGTGGGAACTCCGAAGTTGGACAAGGCATCCATTATCCGGCCCCATCTCGCCGTGTTGAATGCATTGCGTATGTCCAGGGTGACAATAAGGCAATACTCCTTAGAGCCCCCTTTCCAACCACCTTGGAGATGGCGTCGACGGTAGACTTGGCCTTTCTGAACCCGTACTGGGAGTCAGAGAGACCTCCTGCCGCTACGATAGCCCTCTCCAGTATCGTGCTGATTAGGTGTTCCAGCACCTTACCGGCCCCGTCTATCAGGCAAATGGGTCTGAAGGATGCTGGATCATCCAACGGCTTTCCCGGCTTGGGCAGCAGAACCAGTCTCTGCGCTTTCCATCTTGAGGGGAAGAGCCCCTCCCGCATGCATTTGCCGAACAGCACCGCGAATATGTCCGGGCGAAGACAAATGGCTAGCTTGAGCGCCCTGTTGGGAATGCAATCCGGGCCTGGCGCCTTCGTCGCCTTGATCCTACCCGCCATCGCCAACATCTCCTCTTCGGAGACGGGCTCGAGCTCATGCATCGGGTAGTTGCCAGCCCCCGTGGCAAGCTCAGGGTTAGACATCCTGGGGAATAGATGCGCAACTATCTTCCCGAGGCTTTCCGCGTCCAGTGGGGCGCAGTTGTTTGCTCTGCCGACTTTCTTTACAATTAATTTGTAAGCGTTCCCCCACGGGTCTCGGTCCGCTGCCACGCACAGCTCCAGAAAGCATTTTCTCTTGCTGCCCTTTATTGCCGCCTTGAGAGCTCTTCTGCACCGATGGTATGCCTCGCGCTTTACTTTACGCTTCCACTCTCTGCATCCTTAGTGCAAAGGCTTGGGTGTCGAGCAAGTCGGCCTTGAAGCTTTTGCGCTGCTGCGCGGGGGGAGGTGGAGGAAGCGTACTGCGAACATCCAGCGTGGTGAAAATTGCCGCGTGGTCACTTGCCGTGTACACCCCGCTAAGTATCCACCTGCACTGCCCAGCTCTCGAGCGACTGGCGAAGGTGAGGTCCACCACCGATCCTGCTCCCGACCTGCTAAAAGTGTGCTCCTGACCTACGTTGAGTAAGGCCACATCTAGCGTTAAGAGCACTTCTAGGAGTGTTCTGCCACGGGCGTTTGTGGTAGCGCTACCCCAGTCGACCGCCCAGGCGTTGAAATCTCCCGCAAGCAGAGTCGGAGAGCGGCCTCTTGCGTCAGCGGCAAGCCTGTCCAGGATGACAGCGAACTCAGCTAGCGTGAGGCTAGGGGCGAGGTATGTGCTGTAGACCCACCAGCCTCCAACTTTGGCACGCACGAAGCCATTGTCCGCGTGGACGTTTTCCAAACGCAGTGACGTGGTTCCGCAGACCCACAAGGCCGCCTTGCCGGAGCTATCCACGGCCCAGTTGTGATTGCGACCACCTCTGTACGGCTCGCTTAGCACTGCGAGATCGGTTCCGTATTCTCGGACCGTCTGCGACAGCAGGTCTTGCGCTGCCGCGCAGTGATTCAGATTAATCTGAATCACTTTCATGCCCTGTGTTTTAGGCCATCTCTGGACGACGCCACCAGTGGGCTGGAGCGGCTTCCGGCCTGGTGACTCGTGTCCTTCCTTTTGAGCTGCTCGCACTTGAAGCAGTTCGCTGGATTAGGGCAGTCTGCTGCCTTATGCCCTTCCTTCCCGCATTTAAAGCAGGCCTTGCTTCTATCTACGGACACCTGTAGCACTTAAGCTGGGGCTCCAGCTCCTTGATCCGGCACCTGGTCCATCCGACCTTAACTTTGCCAAGTTTGATGAGCGCGCCTGTGGCAGGAACCGCGAAGGTTGCGGCCTGGCTACCTGAGGCCAAGGCGCGTATCCCTTTTATTGTCACCGAGTTCGGGGGGAGGTCCGCCTGCTTGACTAGCGCATTCGCTAGCTCCTCCTTTGTGGTCAGCTCGTCCAGGTCCCATATCCGGAAAACGGCCTGGGGCGTCATTGTGCGGATCGTGGCTCCGGCTCCCAGTGCTTTGCCAATCAGCTCCTTAAAGCCGCTGGTTTGGGCCTGCGAGTTGCGCTTAATCTCCAGTAGCAATTCTCCTTTAGCTGTCTTTCTGACTCTGGAGACGCTATCGCCAACTTCATCCATCCTGGCGTCCTTAGCTCGCGTAACCAGACCGAGCACGTCGCTGTAAGACATGTCTGGAGGAGGGCTTATGATCAGCGCATCCTTCCCACGTCTTTTGGGCCTCTCACGCCGGCCTGCTCCGGGATGAGCTCGTCGTGTTTGCTCGATGGGCGCCTTTCCGTCTCCTCCATTGGTGCCCTCCGCAATCCTCCTAGGAATCGGTGGTTGCGAGCTCCTCACCATGTGGCGTTTAGGGTCGCTTCCCTGGTCTCGTTTGTCCGGACGGACACGCCTGTTCGGAGAGGTTTGGGCTGACTTGTCGTGGCGCGGAATACAGACTTGGTCTGTCTGGCACCCGCGTTCCGCAGTTTCCTCGCTCCGTGTGTGGGGGGGCCTTGCCTCCGGGTTGCGCATTAATGCTTCCTGGAGCTCCTTAAGCCTGGCGAAGGCATTCTTCATACCCTGGTTGATGCTCCGCACCTTCTGCTCGTTGACCTTCGTAAGCAGGTCTTCGAGGATCACCCCCATCTCCACTAGCTGTGGCTGGGGGGCTCTGTGCCTCTTAGTAGGCTGCTCAGTCCCTGATGGACTCGGGGAGTCCCTGTTGCGTTTCGCTAGTGGGGTACACGAATTGTCCCCTTCAGCGGTCCCGCTTGGGGCTGAGACAACAGACACTTTAGCAGCATTTCCTGGCGGGCTGCGCCGTATGCGGGAGCCCTTCTGAAACGCACTCAGTTCTTCCTCTACACTTGTAGCATCCGGGTTGACGTCGGCCAAGTGTGCCGCCGGCGTCGCCGTGGTGGGTGGAATGGTAGTTAGGGCCTCCAGAATCCGTGCCCTAGCCGCGGAGTTTACCGCGGGTGGATTTCCACCTGAGTGGCTGCCATCTGGAGTATTATTGTTGATACCAAGCATTCCTCTTCCTTTCAATGCAGCAATATACCCTGCTGATGGGTTGCATTTTATACCTCCTGCCAGGTTGCATTTTATACCTCCTGCCAGGTTTAGATTGCTGCCGACCGATACGGTGCAGACGCAGACCATACCGCCGGCCAATATGGCTCAGACGCGGTATGGATTTGGGGAGTCGTCGCAGCTCGAGCCTGCCGGCCATTATGGCACAGACGCAGACCGATCAGCCGCCCCATTAGGGACAGGCTAAGTGCGTTACGGGCGTGGGTTGCACTATTCGGGGCATCCAACGATGGCCGAGGATTTCTCCACGACATTAACGCTGGGGGTTATACCGCCCCTCCTCGGTCGCCAGAGCCCCGTTTTAGGGTGTACCGCGTCGCGGAGGGGATGGCAGTTGGTCTGTTCCATGACCTTTACCACCTCGAAGGCCTCCGCTGTGCTGAGAGGGAGTTTCAAGTCCCTGCCATGACCCTCTGCCAAAGGATCGTGGCCGCCACCCGAAACAGTATGCTACTGTTTCGTCGGCCTCCCCGCATGTAAACGTCGTAACAGGCAGCTTTTAACAGCCAGCACTGGTTTGATCGCCAGCGCCGCCTACCGGGCCAAGCGCCCGTGGGTGAGTGTGTGTGCTTAGTTTTAGTCTTAATTTTAGGTATAATATGTACATTATTAGGTCTAAGCTTAAATTGTAGGGTATTATTTACATATATATATAAGGTTGTGGCGACCAGTCGTGTCGTCACACTCCCTCCTTACTTCCGGGTGGGGTGTAGGAAGACCCGGACGTGGTCGTCCCGGTTCAGCTGCACCCGGAATCGCTGACCCTGTTCCTCCTCCAGATAGCGTCGGGCCCTTCGTCTAGCTATTAGAAGTCGCTGCTGGATCCGACTGATGAGCCCGGCGGGTAGCGTGCCGTTGGGCGTGCTCCAGCCGTCGGGAACGGGTAGCCAGCGGGTGTGACCTTGGCGATCGCGGGGCAACTCTTCCTCGGATGAGGATTCGTTCGGGCTGTCCGCCCAGGGCGCGCTCCGTCGGCGGTCTCGGCGTGCCGGTGCTGGTGTGGGTGGTCGGTCCCTGGCCGAACGTGGCTCCGGGTTGATTGGCCGAACCGGCCCGGCGGAGGACGAGCCCAGCTCGTCGCTCAGGTCCTCCGCCCTGCGTCGAGCCACTGCAGCGGCGTATTCGCCGGGTGTTGGTAGCGGGGGGCGGCTCGGTACGGCCACGGCTGGCCTCTCGTCGGCGGAGTCCTCGTCGGTTGCCAAGTCGATGTGTTGGCTCGTCGATGGCCCATCTACCTGGCGTGGGGCGACGGCGGCGTGGTATCCGCATGACGTGGTCGGCGGTGACTGGCTCGGTGATGAGGCCGCGCAGGTGGTTATAGGGCAGCTGGTAGCGTATGGACCCGGCCCGAAAATGTCCTCATACACCGGCGGCGGGGTGCCCGGCGGTCTAAAATTTGGCTCGGCGTTGTCGGAGTCGGAGATCTGGATTATCTCATCCGCCTCTCCCTCGTCGCTGGAGATCACCTCGTAATCCGGCTGGAATTGAGGGTGTGACCTTGGCGATCGCGGGGCAACTCTTCCTCGGATGAGGATTCGCTCGGGCTGTCCGCCCAGGGCGCGCTCCGTCGGCGGCCTCGGCGTGCCGGTGCTGGTGTGGGTGGTCGGTCCCTGGCCGAACGTGGCTCCGGGTTGATTGGCCGAACCGGCCCGGCGGAGGACGAGCCCAGCTCGTCGCTCAGGTCCTCCGCCCTGCGTCGAGCCACTGCAGCGGCGTATTCGCCGGGTGTTGGTAGCGGGGGGCGGCTCGGTACGGCCACGGCTGGCCTCTCGTCGGCGGAGTCCTCGTCGGTTGCCAAGTCGATGTGTTGGCTCGTCGATGGCCCATCTACCTGGCGTGGGGCGACGGCGGCGTGGTATCCGCGTGACGTGGTCGGCGGTGACTGGCTCGGTGATGAGGCCGCGCAGGTGGTTATAGGGCAGCTGGTAGCGTATGGACCCGGCCCAAAAATGTACTCATACGCCGGCGGCGGGGTGCCCGGCGGTCTAAAATTTGGCTCGGCGTTGTCGGAGTCGGAGATCTGGATGATCTCATCCGCCTCTCCCTCGTCGCTGGAGATCACCTCGTAATCCGGCTGGAATTGAGGTGACGGGCTCCGTGGCTCGTCGGCGGATTGGTCGGATTGGTCGGAGGCAGGGCGCATTGGGAGCTCCACTCCGTCCTCGTCGGGAGACTCCCAGAAAAGGTCCTCCAGGTCCAACCCTTCGGCCCCGTGGGCCATCTCCTCCAGCACGTCGGGTGGAAGGTCGCCTAGGCACTCTCGTAGCGCCGCTTCCACCTCGCCGTCTGGGTCTGGTGCCGCTACAGCCTGGACTGCGCGTGTCCCAGGCGTTGTTGGAGTGGGGCCGGTGCCGAAGTGAGGGCAGCTCGCGTCGCCCTTGATGATGGGGTTACGTGGCCGGTGTGCGGGCGCGTCGACGGTCGGGCTGCTCGAGGTGCTGCCTGTGGTGGCTGCACCTGGTTGCCGGTAAGCGTCGTGGACACCCGGCCGGTTTGTGGGCGCGTCGATGGGCCGGCTGCTTGTGGTGCCTCCCGTGGCGGTGGCTTCCCTCCTGGGTGGCCTGGGTCGATGGAGCCCGGGTCGTGCGGAGCGGGACTAAAGGCGGCGGCCCTTGATCCGTGAGTTGCTGCTTGCCCTGGTCGGCAGGCATGCGGTCGGCCTCGGTTGGCCGTGGTCGTGGCGGGGTGGTGTCCACCCGTATTGGGCCGAATCGATGATCCGGCGGGACGTCTAGCTGCTCCGTGGACGGGATTTGTCTGCGGCCTCCGGCCACACGGAGTGGCGCGAGGAGTGAAGGTTGGGGCCGATGCCCCATCTGGAGACCATCCAGCAGCTCCTCAAGGGCGAGCCCCATCCAGGTGTCGTCCCTGGGTGATGAAATGGTGCTTGACATCGTGGCGAGATGGCTGGTCCGGGTTGGTGGCGATGCGGCCGAGCTCGGGATCGAGGGCGAGATGCAAAGCGCGTGTGTTCAGCGCTGCCGTGCGCTGGATCCTCGAGGATGCGGACGTGTGCTCGCTGGCGGTTGCCTGTGGGCGGTGGGTCGCGTCTCTTTTGCTGTTGCTAGCGATGTTGCTCTGCCGCAGTCTGGTGTACTGTGTGCGTTCGTGCTGCGTGGTGATCGATGTGTCTGTGGAGAGAAAAGAGCAAAAGAGACGGCGTTGTTAGGGGGGCGCTTTCGAAGGACCCTACCCAACCGAGAGTTGCTCGATTTCTAAGTTTTTTTTTTGCGAAAGAGAGGGCACATGTTTCCCCCCTAGGGGGGTAGGAGCGTTGGACAGGCGCGAGTTACCACCTCGACGTACACCCTCGGTGGTCCCCCGCCGAAACCCCTTCGGCTGTCCACCAATTAGACAGCCTCAGCACATTCCCGTGGCGGCCCAACAAACCATACAATAAACAACAACAATGTATTGGCAACTAAAGTTGCCATCCAAACATATACAACGAGCCACTGCGGAAACCCGAGACGAGACCCACTTATGCATCCGCTCCAATTCCAACCCGCTAGGTCAGCAGTTTGATGTATAAACGTTTAGGTTTGGATAAGAATATTTTAAGAATAAAACTTCACTTCGATTTTTGATTGGAAACCATACAGACGGCATTTGTTTAATTCTCTGGGAATAACCATACATACAAGGAAATCACCTCCCAAAATACCCTTGGGGACAGCTCTACCATCATTCATATCATAACTGGCGCAGCACGGTAAACTTTCGTCCACGAACGGGTTCGACCAAGGACAGGAAGGATCTGAGACGGCGAAAGGAAGAAGGACGGACTGATGTTCTGGATATTAATAAGCATTCTAATGTAAGAGAGTGAGTAGAGTGAAGTGGGTGACATGGAGTGAAAATAAATAAGCGAAATCAAGATAAAAAATATATAATTCAAGAGAAGCAATAAATAATTATGAGTATGGCAAAATTATTATAAATCAATGGAAATAAAATGGAAATAAAAAGAAATGAAATCAAAGATAAATGCAACAAAAAACCAATGAATAATTTATGGAATGTGGCCAAAAGATTGGTATAAATCAGTGAAATAATAAAATAAATAATTGAAGTATTAAAGGCATGTCGAGAATTTAGTTAAAGTGCAGTTTGAAGCAAACCAAATGACGGTGGACGGACGTCGGTTCGATCGTGGCGACCGGCGGTTCGGGGTTGCGTCGAGCGGCTCGATCGGCAAGCGATTGTCGCCAAGAGCGACAACGGTTGCGGGTCGATGGCTCGATGTGCGCCGAACGGTTGGTCGAGCGAACGAACTTCGACGGATGACGACAGAGGGTTGTGTTGCAGGTGGTTCGACGTCGGAGCGAGTGGCTCGATCGAGCAGGGTCGTACGCAGAGGTAGCGGAAGGCTAGTTCGAAGTCACCGTGTTGGTTCGGTCGAGGTGCCGTTCGTCGTTGTCGGTAGTTTGACGGTTGTAGACGGTTCGGGTCGAGAGGCAACAGAGGCCAACAAGTGCGAACCAAGATACAAGATACAGCGAGGTTGTAAACGGTTGGATCGCTCAACAGGCCGTTGTACAGTGGGCTCCAAGTGAGGGGGCCGGAAGAGAAAGAGTAGGGAACAATTTTCCTGTTCGCATGTATTAGGCGGTGCACTGTGGTACACAGGGCAGCTGCTTAGCATGAAAATAGGATGGTTTGGAAGTATTAAAATAGACCAACAATTGGACTTTCATTTGTATTAGGCGGCGAACTGTATAGCACAGGGCGTCCGCTTAGCAAGGGAAGTATCAATTAAACAGATAATAACAATAAATAAATAATAATAATAATAAAAAAAAAAATATATAAAAATAAAATAAAATAAAATAAAATAAAATAAAATAAAATAAAATAAATAGATAAATAAATAAATAAATAAATAAATAAATAAATAAATATGGACAGACGGTTGGACTTTCATTTGTATTAGGCAGCGAACTGTATACTACAGGGCGTCCGCTTAGCAAGGGAAGTACTGACTGGGAGAACTGGAAGAAGTATATTAAATGATAAAATTTTTCTCTTAATTGCATACAAGCCAGAGCCATCAACATGTATTAGGCGGCGCACTGTATCGCACAGAGCGGCCGCTTAGCATAGGGATGGTTCGGAAGATTGGGAAATAGTTAACCTTCAGAATAATAGATACCAATTAGTATGACTGTCCGCAATTGGTTGTGAAACTGTATCGCACAGTTGATCAACTAGCTTCAGCATGCTAGGTAGCTAAGAGGGAGAGATACAATACAGTACACCGATAACAAGAATAATATTAATAACAAATGATAATAATAATAAGAATAATAATATCAATAATAGGAAGAAAATAAATAAAAGCAATAAATCACTAGAAGAAATCCATGTTTGCCATGCTATTTTACGAAAGAAGAAGAGTACTCATTTTTAATTAATTGCAGAACTCCAAGTCACCTCACGGAAACTCCTTGATCGGCACGACCAACAGAAGATTACACACACATAATCGAAAAAATTATAATAAGTACACTACTAATTAAGAAAACACATTAAACATTAAGCAAGAAGAACACACAATAGGAATTAACACGAATTAAAGGTAGACAGATAATCTCGAAGCAGAATTCTGAAATAATGACTGAAGAAAATAGCCCTGCACCGATGGCAACTAGTGTACTGGAAGCTATCAAGGTAATAGACCTGGTAGAAATCATTCCCAAGTACGAAGGAGAAGCAGGGAAACTAGACGGTTTTATAGCAGCGGTAGAGCAGGTGTTAGGCCTTATAAAAGGAGAACAAAGGTCGAACGTAGGAGTAATTGCTCTTAGAGCGGTGAGGAGCAAGATTACAGGGCCAGCAGACAGGGTTCTGGACTTGGACGAGTCGGAGTTGAATTGGGACCAAATCAAGAAAATATTAACTACCCATTTCAAGGACAAGAGGTCTGAACAGGACTTGATTATGGAACTAACCCATATCAAGGAGAAGAAGTTAGAATTGGAAGCTTTGTACACAAAGGTTATGACGTTGAAGAAGGCCTTAGTGAGTCTGTCTAAGGCCAACGAACAGGGCATATTGTTGCGAGGCGAAAAGGTTAAATGGTATGAGGAGATGGCTTTAAATGCTTTCATTTCGGCCTTGAAAGGACCGATAGGAGTGACCATCAGGAACATGGGAGTGCCCAACATAGCCAAAGCATACGAAATTGCTTGCAGGGAAAAGAACCTGGGTACTCTACAAGAGGCTCAAGAAGAAGCAAAAGGTCAGGGTCTGACTGAGGAGCAGCCAAAAGAGGGCAAGGAAACTCCCAAACAAGAAACAGACAAGCAAGAGAGTCTGGTGCCGGAGTCGCACACTAGCATCTGGTCGCAATATCGCTGGGGAGCAAATGCTCAACCGCAGTTCCCAATGCAGTTTCCGGTACCAGGGATGAATGGTTGGCCAGGTTTCGGATTTCCGTATCCGATGATGGGCAATCCATTCAGGACTGACGGTAATTATCAGGGCGAGAATACTAACTACCAGAGACCGTACCGTAACTACCAGAACAAGAACAACAAATGGGGTTATGGACAGAATAATAGAGGAAGACAGTGGTACGGAAATAACAGCTACAACAACGGAAATAACAGTTACAACAATGGAGGTAACAGTTACAATAATTACAAACCGAGGGAAGGTCAGCTAGCCATCCAGGCGAGTGGAGATGCTGAAGGCAGTGGCCAGTCGAGGTTGTCCAAGAATTCAAATTATTCGGGGCAATTCTATAATTCGAACAACTCAAGGCAGTCGAACAACTCGACCAATTCCAGACGGTCATTCAGTTCGAACGATAATTCAGAGAGAGGCGGAAACAGATCGTCGACAAACGGTCAGTTACATAATATTCGGGAAGATGAGGCAAATTTTTCACAATCAGCCTCCAACAACCAACAGGATATCTAGGAACTAGGAGGGGCCACTCCACCCTACCTTATGTAACGATCAGATTGACCCCACAAAATACAATAAAGTTATTAATTGACACCGGATCCACATATTCTTTCATTCGTCCCGAGCTGGTACAAGCACAATATATAAAACAACTTCAAGAACCAATAGCGATTAAAACTATCACCCAATCACACTCGATTTTTCAAGAGGCACATATACCAATGTTTAAAGAACTCGGTGGGACAGGAAAAATGAGGCTGTTGCTTTTTAAGTTCCACAAATTCTTCGAAGGGTTAATTGGTATAGACCTATTGCAACAACTTAAGGCAGTCATTGATATCGAGAAAGGCTGGTTCCGTACGTCGGACACCGAATTGCAGATACATTTCACTACATATAGACCCAGTGAGGTTCACGTAATAGAAGCAGGGACAAAGGCAGTTATTCCTATTCCGGTACAAATATCGGACGGGGATTTCCTGTTAAACAGAACTATAGTAAAGGAAGATTTGATCATTTCAGAAGGAATTTATAGGGCAGTGGCTGGAAGAAGCCTGGTAGAGATAACGAACTATGCTGAAGAGGACCAAGAAGTGTTTTTGGAAGAGCCCTTGGAAGGTGTTGAGTTTGAGACAGAACAACATTTTGAACTTAACAATATTGAAGAAGTAGACAAAGGAGCTATGAGAATACCATTTGAAAAGATTAGAACGGAGCATTTAAATGGCGAGGAGCTGAAGGAGCTCCAACGAATTTGCAAGAAATATCCCAGGGTGTTCCATAAGGAAGGAGATCATCTATCATTCACGAATGCGGTCAAGCATCAATGATGACATACCGGTGTACGCAAGGCCGTACAGGTATGCATTCCAAGAGAGACAAGAGGTGAGAAGGCAGCTAGAGAAGCTGTTAGAACAGAAGATCATTAGGCATAGCCATTCTCCTTGGAGTGCGCCGGTATGGTTGGTGCCCAAGAAGAAAG